AAAAAGTACTGAAAATATGTTTATGAAACTTGACATATGGGTAGATGGCAGTATGGAAATTATGCACATCCTTTTTTATCTTCCTATGTTGAAAATTCTGGTTGCTATGGCAACAAATAGACTGAATTTCAAGATTTTTGATTCTAGTTTTTAAGTTTTTCACTATAAGTTCTTTATTTCTTAGGGTTTTTTCTTCAAACTTTAAATATAAGTTGCTTGTCATCAACCACATCATATGTGACAAGGTTTACAACTCTAGCACAAAATTTATAATTACCTCCCTTGAACTTAAAATTTTCATGAAAAAAACATTGTTTTTTTAATAACTTCTTTTTCTAAATGTATCTACTTCAAACTTCATATAAATGTTTCTTATTGTCACTCAACATTTGTGAGTGTTCAATACTCTAGCAAGACTATTTTCAGAATTATGCCCCTTTTGAACTTAGACTTTTTTTTGAGAAATTGGTAATTTTTACTCCAACTTCTTCAATCATGATAAGATTTTAAAAATGTTATATTTTGATAACAGGGATGTTTAAAAAATAACTTTAGAGTGTCCTTCAGTCCGTCTGTCTGTACATAAAAACTGTTTCCTGTGATCTATTTTAAAGAACTTTTTCAATAAATTTACCTAAAATAGGAACCTAAGTGAATGGCCAATTGCCCTTCAGAATGTTGCTTGGGCTCTTACCGGTAGGGGACTTATGGATTGCTTGCAATACTATGATAATTGCTTGTTATATATTAGATGGTGGCAAAAATTAAGTTTTTTGTTAGTGAAAATGATAATAGAAAAGCAGTACTAAATGCAGAAAGACATTATAAACTTCTTTCAAAACAGCAAAAAGGCATGCACAGCACTACACCATACATTACACATGGACAACGTAAAGCACAGAAATCTGACAAAATAAATAAATAAATAAATAAATAAAAAAAATTCATAACATAAAGGCCTCTACATAATATTCAGACAGGTATATTATAAATAATTAATGCATTTTCCTTATATTAACATATATTTTAGTTATTCATACTTTAAGTTTTATTTTAATTACAGAACCAGTAGTGTACTATTTACATGATTAAAAAAGTTTATTGCTTAATTGCAGGACAAGTGTCTTTACATGATTAAACACAAAACTGTATCATTACAGAACAAGTGTCTTTACATGATTACTCATGTGTGAATTGTAATATGATAACAGGACGAGTGCCTCTTCATGATACCCATGTATATTATATAATTACAGGACCAGTGTCTTTACATGATTATAAACATGTTTATTTGCCTAATTGCGGATGAGTGTCTTTACATGATTACCCATATATATTATATAATTACAGGACAAGTGTCTATTTTATATCACATACATGAATTATAATTAAAGGACAAGTGTCTACATTATTACACATGTATGAATTATAATTACAGGACAAGTGTTTACATTATTACACATACATGAATTATAATTAAAGGACAAGTGTCTACATTATTACACATACATGAATTATAATAACAGGACAAGTGTCTACATTATTACACATGTATGAATTATAATTACAGAACAAGTGTCTATATTATTACACATACATGAATTATAATTACAGGACAAGTGTCTACATTATTACACATGCATGAATTATAATTACAGGACAAGTGTCTACATTATTACACATGCATGAATTATAATTAAAGGACAAGTGTCTACATTATTACACATGCATGAATTATAATTACAGGACAAGTGTCTACATTATTACACATGCATGAATTATAATTAAAGGACAAGTGTCTATATTATTACACATGTATGAATTATAATTAAAGGACAAGTGTCTACATTATTACACATGCATGAATTATTATTAAAGGACAAGTGTCTACATTATTACACATGCATGAATTATAATTACAGGACAAGTGTCTATATTATTACACATGTATGAATTATAATTACAGAACAAGTGTCTATATTATTACACATGTATGAATTATAATTACAGGACAAGTGTCAATATTATTACACATGTATGAATTATAATTACAGGACAAGTGTCTACATTATTACACATGTATGAATTATAATTACAGGACAAGTGTTTACATTATTACACATACATGAATTATAATTAAAGGACAAGTGTCTACATTATTACACATACATGAATTATAATAACAGGACAAGTGTCTACATTATTACACATGTATGAATTATAATTACAGGACAAGTGTCTATATTATTACGCATGCATGAATTATAATTACAGGACAAGTGTCTATATTATTACACATACATGAATTATAATTAAAGGACAAGTGTCTACATTATTACACATGTATGAATTATAATTAAAGGACAAGTGTCTATTTTATTACGCATGCATGAATTATAATTAAAGGACAAGTGTTTACATTATTACACATGCATGAATTATAATTACAGGACAAGTGTCTACATTATTACACATACATGAATTATAATTACAGGACAAGTGTCTACATTATTACGCATGCATGAAATATAATTACAGAACAAGTGTCTATATTATTACACATGCATGAATTATAATTACAGGACAAGTGTCTACATTATTACGCATGCATGAATTATAATTAAAGGACAAGTGTCTATATTATTACGCATGCATGAATTATAATTACAGGACAAGTGTCTACATTATTACACATGTATGAATTATAATTACAGGACAAATGTCTATATTATTACGCATGCATGAATTATAATTACAGGACAAGTGTCTACATTATTACACATGTATGAATTATAATTTCAGGACAAGTGTCTATATTATTACACATACATGAATTATAATTACAGGACAAGTGTCTATATTATTACACATACATGAATTATAATTAAAGGACAAGTGTCTATATTATTACACATACATGAATTATAATTACAGGACAAGTGTCTATATTATTACACATACATGAATTATAATTAAAGGACAAGTGTCTACATTATTACACATGTATGAATTATAATTACAGGACAAGTGTCTACATTATTACACATGTATGAATTATAATTAAAGGACAAGTGTCTACATTATTACACATACATGAATTATAATTAAAGGACAAGTGTCTATATTATTACACATACATGAATTATAATTACAGGACAAGTGTCTACATTATTACACATGTATGAATTATAATTACAGGACAAGTGTCTACATTATTACACATGTATGAATTATAATTTCAGGACAAGTGTCAACATTATTACACATGCATTAATTATAATTAAAGGACAAGTGTCTATATTATTACGCATGCATGAATTATAATTAAAGGACAAGTGTCAACATTATTACACATGCATGAATTATAATTACAGGACAAGTGTCTACATTATTACACATACATGAATTATAATTACAGGACAAGTGTCTACATTATTACGCATGCATGAATTATAATTACAGAACAAGTGTCTATATTATTACACATGCATTAATTATAATTACAGGACAAGTGTCTACATTATTACGCATGCATGAATTATAATTAAAGGACAAGTGTCTATATTATTACGCATGCATGAATTATAATTAAAGGACAAGTGTCTACATTATTACACATGTATGAATTATAATTACAGGACAAGTGTCTACATTATTACGCATGCATGAATTATAATTACAGGACAAGTGTCTACATTATTACACATGCATGAATTATAATTACAGGACAAGTGTCTACATTATTACACATGCATGAATTATAATTACAGGACAAGTGTCTATATTATTACACATGTATGAATTATAATTACAGGACAAGTGTCTACATTATTACACATGCATGAATTATAATTACAGGACAAGTGTCTACATTATTACACATACATGAATTATAATTACAGGACAAGTGTCTACATTATTACGCATGCATGAATTATAATTACAGGACAAGTGTCTATATTATTACACATACATGAATTATAATTACAGGACAAGTGTCTTCATTATTACAAATGCATGAATTATAATTACAGGACAAGTGTCTATATTATTACACATGTATGAATTATAATAACAGGACAAGTGTCTACATTATTACACATGCATGAATTATAATAACAGGACAAGTGTCTACATTATTACACATGTATGAATTATAATTACAGGACAAGTGTCTATATTATTACACTAGGGCTGTGCATTGCCATTTTTTTCTGTAACGATACATATCACGATACTTGTTTTTCAAAACGATGCGATTCACGATATGTATTGCATACTTTGAAAAAAAGCGATGCATATTGCGATTCTTATGTTGCGATGCGATACGTATCACGATACTGACTTTCAGACTTAGTACATAAAATTTGGCCATTTGTTTACAGCATAATTACCAATATACATGTAATATAAAATTATTACAATAACAAAAAATAAACTCTTTAACTTGTTGTTATAACTTGGTTTCTGATTTTGATCTTTCAACAATTTACTTTTCTGATTACCTAAGGATTAAAGGTATTGTTAATTATACCATAACAGCAAATTGATATCTACTAGTCTAACACTAAAGTCCTCTACTGTAAATATGGCAGTTTAAAAAATTCAGTCTTACAATACTTCACTAAAGATTTTTCTTGTGAAAAAATAGTAACAAGTGATTTACTATTAGGTCAACAACTGTGAAAATAACAGTTAATCAGTTACACTCTCATTTTTCTCGAAAGATTTGTGCTCAACCCCAGAGTATTTTATTTTGAGTTTGCAAATTGGAAGTGGCTAGCCGTACGGGCCCGTACGGCTAGCCAAAAGTTCTAGCCGTACGTGAGTCACGTACGACTAGCCAGGACACACTGTATTGGCTAGCCGTACGGCACTTTTCAAAAATATATGGAAGGCGAAAGTGCATATGTTAATTATGACTTTAAGCTAGGATTTTAGTCAAGAATGTTTACTTTTTGGAAGGAAATTTTTTCAAAAAAAAATTTCCTTTCTATAGTATCGGTCTGCCTATATTGAAAAAGAGCGAACAACACCTAATTGAATTCTGTTTAAGCTCAATAGAAAATAAGTAGTTAATGCGACCAAGAAAGTAGTGCAGCAGAACTATATGTATACTTTCAAACGTGGATGACTTGAAGAAAAAGCTGATGTTCAAAAAAACTTGAAATGATGATATTCAATGTTAGCTTACATCAATGGAACATAATCTTAAACGTGTACGGAAAAAAAACATCAGTATTATTACGCATTAGGCCAAAGAAAAGTTTGTGTCCATGTACCTATGTACAATAAATTGAATATAAATAAGGTGTAATTTTGTAGCAGAGATGCTGAAAAGTTCACATATATAAGTCAACCGAAGGGAAATGAAAGTATTTATTGTATATATTTAGCAATTTATTGAATAGCATTTTATGCCACCGCTGATTTTTTTACGTCGATAACTCAAGAGGAAACTATGTGGCCTTAAAAAGGCGTTCAGTACTGTACTATTTTCGCAGAAAATGGTTCGCAAACTACCATAGCTTAGAATCAAAGCGTTTGAAACAAAAATATTATTATATAAATAATAAAAAACAAGATTACAATACAAGTCTTTCAAAAGTATTCTGGAATTAACGGATGCAATTTGGTAAAACTTGGTGTTGACTAATAAGTAGGGCACACCCGCCATTGTTCGGACCATCGACAGAATAACGTTCGTGTTTTTGAGATTTCTCCATCCAAGACATAGATTTGCTGATGAATAACATCGCAAAGGTTTGTGGAAATGCTTTTATTTCTTTGTTCAAAATCGTTTTGTGTTTCCAGATGTTAATTTGTTAGACAAACGAAATTAGGTCAAGGATTGTTTACATTATTGAATTTACAGGTAAACTCGGCCCTATACCAACTCGGGACAGGTCAACTCGGCCCTCTATTAAACCATATATATTAGGATATAGATTGTTTAGTTAATAACATATTGTTTGAAATTATCTTTAAGATAAATAATCTTTAAGATTAGGAGAAAATATATATATGTTCATTCTTTGTAAAAATGTTAGAAGACTTGCAAGTTACCGACTTTATCATTGCATTTATTTATTATTGAAAAAATGCTGAACAGCTAGTCTCAACAGAGTTTATAGGCTAGAATTTTCAGTTTGCATTAGGGCCAAAATTATTAAATATATTGTAAGTCTTCCCATTGCTGTCATCAAACTTTAACCTTGTTCATAACTTTTTCAGATCTTGGTGTATTGTCTTCATACTTGGCCACAACAACCCTTCAAATAGACCAGACTAAACTAAATTAGCTTGACCACCATATTAACATTCAAGGTATATGTCTAAATCTTCTTGATTTTTGCTATTAGTGGCTATAACTTTGTTATTTTTGAATGGATTGTCTTCAAACTTGAACAACAATCTTTCAGGATAGGACCTGACTCACTCATAAATGTCCTTGAAGCTTTTGTGATCAGAAGTTGTACAGAATAATACAAACCCAGAGCAATTTCATTCACTTGGTTTTGCAACTTCTGAGAAAATGGATTTTAAAGATAGTTGTTTTCTTGAAATTTCAGGACAGTATAGTAGATAGTAAAGACATTTAATACATACTGTATATACACTATAATTACTATAGTATACTATAAAAATCTTTATGCTTGGACAATTTTGAACAAATTGTTTCTTAAACAGTGTAAGAAATTAGGATTTGAATCGACTAGGCTGGTCGGACTACTAGATTGGAATATTCACTTGCCCAAAAGACATTTCACTAGCACGATTCATTTGTTCAAAACAGTTGTTTATATTGCCTCTGAAGATACAGTAGCCTGGTCGGGCTTGTTACTGTGAAAAGTTGATAGCCCGAGGAGAAATTTAGTAGTCGGGCTCTCGGACTACTGCTAATTTCGAACATGGCTTAAATTATTGATTTGATATCAACTAACATAATTATTGGGATACTATATGTATATCTAATAATAATTATATTTTATGTTTCAGAAGTTCGGCCTACATGTCAGATTTATGAATGTGAACAGCAGGATATCGATTTTAAGGATGCTTTACTTTAGGGTCAATGACAATGAAATCACGAGAGATAAAGGCTAAAATGTGAGACTGTAAATCTGACTAACCTTGAAGTGAACAAATGGAAAAAATGTTTCTTTCAATAGCATGGGCTTTTAAGGAAGAGGTACATGATTATTTAGAAGTATTTGTATATGATATTTCTTAATTATTATATTCTAATAGCTTTTTTTTTCTTGATTTGTTTAAAGGCTGACGCAGGACAGTTTATTTTAAGTCGGTGAGCTTCGGTCACTGGATAGACTATTGTCACAAAAAGCCAAATTTATAAAAAAGAATTACAGTGTATTTAAATATCTTTTACAAGAAATTAGGAACAAAATTAATAGCAAGAACAATAATTGTGACATGTAACATGTATTTAGGAATTCAACTTTCTTTTCCTTTTTACCTTAGGACAATTCACATTAAAATATTGAATATTCACAGTAAGCAGTGTTAGCACTCCGACTTATCTGACATATATGATCATCTTATCATCACTTAGCTGTCTATAGCTTATCAGAATCACTCACATTTATGAATTTAAATAATTTTGAAAAAATTGCTGCTTAGCAAATAGATAAAATACTTGGGGTGTCTGTGACTGATTGGTTTAGTTTCTTGACTTTAAAAACCTTTAAGCCTTTCACTGCTGTAAGTTCGAGCTCGGCAAGGGTTTACAAGTGGAATTTTAACTTTGCAATTAACTTTTCTAAACAAATATTTCAGGAAACAGAGGCGCTTATATGATAGAACAGTAAAAGCAGGAGTGATAATGAAAGATACATGTAGATGTGTCTTCATGTCGGAAACACTAAAAAATAGAAATATTGTGGTTTTATAAAACTTAAAAGAAATTGGAATACCAGGAGACTGCCTGCCCTTTGCAATGTTGGATAAAGAGTTCTTAGATGTGATGTCGAAAGCCTCATGAAGCCCATGACTTAATCTAATTAGAAAAAGAAATGACATTGAAGAGAAAACTAGTCACCAGTCTTTCACCAAGAACTAGAGATAACTTTCCAATATTTGAAATATCATAATATGAGCCGCGTCATGACAAAACCAACATAGTAGGTTTGCGACCAGCATGGATCCGAACCCGCCTGTGCCTCCGCGTAGTCTGATCAGGATCCATGCTGTTCGCCATCAGTTTTTCTACTTGTAATAGAGTTTGTAAGCAAACAGCATGGATCCTGATCAGACTGCGTGGATGCGCAGGCTGGTCTAGATCAATGCTGGTCGCAAACCCATTATGTTGGTTTTGTCATGGCGCGGCTCATATGTATAGAACTTTATTGAGCCACCAGTTTTCACCAGGAAAATAAGATCACTTAACTATTTTTTAGCTCACCTGTCACAAAGTGACAGGGTGAGCTTTTTTGATCGCTTTTCGTCTGGCGTCCTTCCGTAAACTTTTACTTAAAATGACATCTCCTCATAAACCACTAAGCCAATTTCATCCAAACTTCACAGGAATGTTTCTTTGGTGGTCACCTCTAAATATTGTTCATAGAACGCTGGTTGCCATGGCAACCAAAAGAAAAAAACTTAAAGTATCTTCTTTTAAAGAACCCAAAGAGCTAGAGCTTAGACAAAGTATCTTCTTTTAAAGGTATGAAACATCTTCTAGTGAGTGTCTACCAAGTTTGTTCAAATAAAAGCCCTGGGGTCAAAAATTGGCCCCTCCCAGGGGTCATTGAATTTCCCTATATGCATATAGTAAAAAACTTAAAAATCTTCATTGAAAAAACCAAAATAGCTAGAGTTTAGATATTAAGCAATGAAACATCTTCTGGTAAGTGTGTACAAGGTTTGTTCAAATAAAAGCCCTGGGGTCAAAACTGGCCCGCCCCAGGGGTTTCATTGTTTCTAACTATTTGTGTAAAGTAAAAACTTAAAAAATCTTCTTTAAAAAAACCCAATGAACTAGAGCCTAGATGTTTAGCATGAAACATCTTATGGTGTCAACCAAGTTTGTTCAAATTTAAGCCCTTGTATAAAAATTGGCCATGCCGGGTGGGGGTGGTGCAGAGGTCTTTGTTTTACATTATATGTGTGTAGTAAAAACTTAACATCATGAAACATCTTCTAACGGGTGTCTTACAAGTTTGGTCAAATAAAAGCCCTGGGTTTAAACTGGCCCCCGCTCCAGGGGCCTATATATACATGGCCCTCTTGTTGAAATATGTATGAACAAATCTTTATCAACTTCAAGCTTTTATTGAAGGAATTTGAAATAACTTGGCACAAATGATTGTTATAATAAGACAATGAGTCATGTCAACAACCAGACCCCTACCTCCAGGGTCAAGGTCGCACTTGCTCATTCAAGGTCAACATTGTCTATTTGAAAGTATATCTCGTGTCCGGTCTATAACTTTCCTATCTCTAAAGGGATTTTGTAAATACTTGCCACAATTGCTCACAATAATGAGAAGATGTGTCATGCTCAACAACAGGTCACCTGCCTCCAAGGTCAAGGTCACACTTGGAGGTCAAATATTAGCACAGCCTGTTACAGGGTATATTTCGTGTCCGGTCCATAACTTTGTCATTTATTGAAGGAATTTGAAATAACTTGGCAGAAATGTTTGTTATGATAAGACGATGATGTGCAACAACCAGACCCCTACCTTCAGGGTCAAGGTCACACTTGCTCATTCAAGGTCAACATTGTCCATTTGAGGGTATATCTCGTGTCCAGTCTATACCTTTCTTATCTTTGAAGGGATTTTGTACATACTTGCCACAATTGTTCACAACAATGAGATGATGTGTCATGCGCAACAATCAGTCACCAACCTACAAGGTCAAGGTCACACTTGGAGGTCTAAGATTAACATAGCCTGTTATAGGGTATTTTTTTGTCCAGTCCATAACTTTTTTGTATATCAAAGGATTTTGAAAAAACTTGGCACAAATATTCACTATAATAAGACAATGTGTCATGCGCATCACCTGCATCCCTACCTCCAAGGTCAGGGTCACATTTCGAGGTAAAAAATTAACATTGTTTTTTTAAAGGGTATATATTGTGTCTAATGTAGAACTTCTTCATAGTTCAAGGGATTTTAAAATAACTTGGTACAAATAGTCACAATAATAAGACGATATGTCAGTTACAACACCTGCACCCCTGCCTCCAAGGTCAAGGTCACACTAAGAGGTATAAAGGTAACAAAGTCTGTTATATGGTATATTTTATGCCCCGTCCATAACTTCTTCATAGATGAAGGGATTTGGAAAATACTTGGCACAAGTAGTCACAATGATAAGATGATATGTCATGCACAACACCTGCACCCCTACCTCCAAGGTCAAGGTCACACTAAGAGGTCAAAGCAGGGATTTTTTCCAGGATTTTGGGAACATAACCCATAGTGTCATACCCATGCAACTGGGAATTTCAGCGATATTTTGTTAAAATTGGGAAAAAATGCATGACTGAAAGTTTGCAGTGATTAAATGTATGCAAGCAATCACTGCCTAGGATGGCTTCTTCAAACATTTAAACACGAATTTTATGATCCTACGACAGTTGGCCTTTTTTATTGATTAGTCATGGGCAGACTGTGTTTAAGTCCTTTATGACGAAACCCTGGAATAACAGAGTTAACACTTTATTAGTTAAAAATCCAGTTTATTCTTCAATGTCCAATTTTCGAATGATTACATAAATAACATTTTACAACATTATAAAATAAATCATTATAAGAATACAATATTTGAATTAACAATAGTTTGATCTTTTGATTAACAAATATGGGGAAATTAGCTTTATAGATTAACTCACTTTGCATAAGAGGTACCATTTTAACAATTCAAATAATTATAATATTACTATTACATAGCACCTAACAATTTATATCAATTTACATATTTAGAATAGATTTTATAAACTTTAATGAATTATGAAATATAATAAAAGTACATACCTGGAATAACAGAGTTAACACTTTATTAGTTAAAAATCCAGTTTATTTTTTAATGTCCAATTTTCGAATGATACTGGGACAGTTGAAGCTGGAAGTTTTGTTTAACTTTGTTAAACCATATGCAAATAAACATTAATGTATAAAATGTCCTAAGAAGGAAACATTAGGATGATTTCCTGCAAAAGTTACTATTTTTGTTTAACCATATATTTAGGCATTTAGATAAGGATGGAAAAAGAAAGGAGTAAGCTGACTGCTTATCAAGACTTGTTTGTTTAAGTGCTAATTGTCACTTATTGTAGCTTGGCTTTAAAGCATGATATAAAGTTACTATAACAAGTCTTTGTTAGAAAGCTTATGTAAAATAAAACTGAAGTGAAAAACACTATTTTTAAGTAAAATTGTAACTATTTTAAAGTTACCAAAATAAAACTATTATATTTGAAATCTACATTTAGAAACAAAGATTTTGATATAAAATATGAAATATCTATTTTAAAAATAATGATTGTGATGTAAACTATCACAATCATTCATAATGTAAAAATATGGATCATAATAGTTCCTCTCTCGTTCTTTTACTTTGGACCCCAAAGTTGAATTTATTTATTTTTCAAAAATATGGGTCATAAAAAGATTTTTTTGATTTTTTTTTTTTTACTACTCACTAAAGTATTTACATTATAACATATACTCAAGGTATTATCCGAAAAATATACATATGTAAACATTGATACACACATCTTGGATAAAGACAAAAATTTATTTACATTGAGCTCAATAAGATTAGTATTAGGGACTTGTGTCAACCTTTATTGTTATTTGCTAGCTTCTATTTAGTAGGACTTGTGTCAACTACCTAAGACCTTGTGGTCTGTTTACTTTGTAAACAAGTATACCTAAAATAAACAATACATAATATATGTTTTATAGTATACAATACACAAAAATATACAAGATTATGCAATTGGTAGGAATATCAATACAAATCTCGCAAGGTCATGCATTTATAAATGAACATCTGTAATTAATTACAAACATGGTCATTTTTGGAAGAAATTTTCTTTTTTTTTGACAGATAGCTGATGTGAAATGAATATTCTGTGAACGGCACACAGGGAGTTTCATTCTATTATATAAGATGCAGCTTAAAAAAAATTGTAAATAAAGAATACAACAGAATAAGCCTAATGTGCTGCTATTTGGGAGCACTCATTGAACAACAAAAGAGTGGTACTCAATTTGAACCTATTAAAAAAAAGGGGAAAAAAAATACCAATAGTGAAATTTATGAAAACTTGATCAGAGCTTCATAATAAAATATTATCTCACTAAAGGGAAAATAATTTTGAATTTAGATGATCAGTCCTAATATACCTAACAATTTAGGATTTTATAGATTCTAATGAGTAATGTTTATTTTCATTGTTGTGCATGCTTAGGGCTTATTTATTTCTTATGGAAGAACACATTGGTTTTACGTTTCCTTTTTCTACCAGTTTTAGTATGTGTTTTCCAGTATTCTTGAATTATGTCAGGGTCAAATAAATTCTTCCATAATCCATTTGTTCACACTATTTGGTAGGGAACAATAGAACCATCTTTTATTTCCAGTACTAATGCATGTTTTCTTGATCTGTATTGGTTTTATTAGGTTTTGCATAAAAAAATCTTGTTTTGGGGGAGCTTGAGGACTTGTATCATCAAGCTGAGGATCATTATCAGACTTGTGATTGTTTGTCTCTACAGACTCAGATGTCTTAACAGGCTGTGGAATATGAGTATTGTTAGTCTGGTCATTAGTTTCAGACTGTTGACCCCTATTTTCTACAGGCTGTTGACAATTTGAAAGAGATTCATTTGCTCTTTCATTTGAACTTTCAGAATGAAGTGGTTCCTGAAAGTGTTTTAACCGTTGAGAATTAACAAGTGCCTTTAAAAGTTTATTTGTTTTACAGTCTCTTAACTTATAGGTAAAATTTGGACCTAATGAGTCAATTGTGTAAGGACCAACCCATTTATGGGTTAACTTTGAAGAAAGACCTTGTCTTGTGGCATAACACCTTAATAGTACCTTGTCAAATACTCTGAAATCAGGAATTTTGGCTTTGCCGTCAAATCGGACTTTGGCTTTATGCTTTGCTATCTCCATGTTGTTTTTTGCAATGTTTTGCGCAACTTTCAGTTGAGTTAAGAGTTCATTAAAGAAATCTTTGGTTTGTGAAGGTAAATTAGGTTTTGGAAGCAAGTCTACATCAACAGGAAGAAGCATTTCTTTCCCAAAGATTAAATGATATGGAGAAAATCCTGATGATTCAGTTGCTGGAGTTGACCTGAATGCCATCATTACACTTGGTAAGATATTTGCCCAATTTGTTTGGTTTTCATCCACATAGGCAGTTAATACTTTAGCTAATGTACTGTTTGCGCGTTCAACTGTTGAATTTGTCTGTGGGTGATATGAGCTAGTGTGATATCTCTTGATCTGAAATAACTCACACAAAGCACTTACAAGCTTTGACATGAAGTTTTTGCCTCTGTCTGAAACCAATGAACGAAAAGCTCCGTATCTACATATATATTCATTATATAGTATTGTGGCAATTTCTTGAGCATTTTGACTTTTTAATGGAAATGCCTCTGGCCATTTTGAAAAACTATCTATGATAAGTAGAATATATTGGTGACCTTGTTTTGTTTTGGGGAGAGGGCCGAGAATATCAATGTGAACTCT